CTTTTTTTGATCAACATAATTTATGTGTGCTGTAGAAGTTTAACTATAGGTTCAAGTGCACCATGAGATAAAAAGGATTGAAAAACACTGATCTAAAGCCTTACAGACCATTGAAGGAAATATGGATTTTATTCTAACATATAATGGAAAATGACTGGAAAGTTGTGAGCAAAAAGTTTTGAATATGAATTACAGTTTTAAAAGACCATTCTGGTGGCTCAGGGCCCATAGCTCAGTGGTTAGGGTGCTGGCCACATGCACCAGGGCTGGTTGGTTGGAACTGACCAGGGCCTGCTAAAGCAACAATGACAACAATAACAACAAAATAGCCAGGCATTGTGGAGGGCGCCTGTAGTCCCAGCTACTTGACAGGTTGAGGCAAGAGAATTGCTTAAGCCCAAGAGTTTGAGGTTGCTATAAGCTGTGATGCCACAATGCTCTAATGGGGGCAACATAGTGAGACTCTGTCTCAAAAAAAAAAAAAGAAAAGAAAAAAATACCATTCTGGCTAGTAGGTTGAGAACGGATAAGGGGACAAGAGAAACTAGCATGGAAAAGTAACTTACTCAAGGCCACAGAGAGGGGACAAGGACCCCTTGGTCAGTGGAAATGATCATGTAACTAGGTATAGTGAAATATCCAAGTCACTCAAGAATAAATTCAACAGACTGATTTGTCTTGTCTTTCTATACTTCAGGAATGGGAAATGAAGAAGACCTAGGAAGAGGATGAGGATTTCATTCCAAAGGAAGTATCAGCTTGCCCACCTAAGGCAGAAATGCTTTTATCATAAGGAGATACCAAGAGAAGACTGGAAGTAGCCTCCACTTTCTGGGGCACCCCAAAAGACCAGCCTTTATTGTCTGCATGATTTCAGGGGATATGGGGAGGGAAGAGTAGAAGGGAAGAGGGAAATAGAGGGCACCCTTATGACTTTACAAAGGGTGGAAATGAGGGAGACAGAAGTCTGCACAGTTGTAAAGGTTTTGCTAGCAGTCTTAGCCATCCGTTCAGAAGAAAAAATGAAAGCATGTGTGAATAAGCCATTCCATCCCATTCTCAGCATCCTATTCCCAGTCCTTAGAGCAAAGGAAGGCAGAGCTGAAGTACTGGTGGTGCAGTGTAAAGAGACGAGATCTGATCATCTGATCACCCTTGTGCCAAATGGATTCATGTTGGGCATTACTGACAACCTCTGGGCAAGGCAAATGGGCTGAACAATCAATAACATTATGCCTGCCTGCACAACTGTGAACAAAAGAGAATATGCAAATTCTGCAATCATTCCTCACTTGCTTTAGAACGACACAGAGTGCAGCTACTGGAATCTTCTAGATTTGAGTGTTTTAAAATTAGCTCTGAGTATGCAAAAGCCAAAGAGAAGTCCAGCAGCTAACATATTTAAAGCTCACCATGATAGTCAATAACAGGAGTACGGACTTCTTATGTCCATGGGATGTTGCAGGCATCATAGGACGGCATCATTTCTGGCAATCAAGTCCTTATACCTATTTTACATGACATTGAGGTAACTAGGAGACATTATATGAAGTCATCATTTTGCATACAGAAGCCCACTGGTCTGCCTTCCATATCTGGTATAAAGTAAACTATCGGGGAAAATCAAGAGTATGGTAACTTATTTCTGGATGCTAAGTCTTTTACACTTATGGGCAAGGACCTCAAGTCCTGAGCAGTACCCTTAATGTGCTACTCACTATTATCTCAACACTGTAGGTACTTTATGGGCTGTCTTCCACACATCTCCTTCTGATAAAAATAAAACCATTTAACTCTAAGTTCAAGTTCAAAGAAGGAAAGACTGGAAATCCCAGAAAAACCTCTGGACACATTGCTAGAGGCTTTACGTATTTTACCCCACCTAAGGTTTTACATACTTTAGCTTCACTCAAATTGTACACCATCCTCTGAAGTAGCTGGAGACCTGATCAGTGGCAGAGCATAGGACTTCATTGTTATGAGCCTAGATCCAGAAAGGGCTGGATTTGAGTCCTGCCTCTGCTGCTGACCAGCTGGGTGATCTTGGGTCACTAGACCTCTCTGACTCTTGGCTTTCTTTATCTGTAAAAACAGTGTTAACGACTGTTAATTTTCCTTCCAAGACTCCTGGGAGGATTTAATGAGATAATACATAGGAAGTATATTGCACATTGTCCAAAAAAATGGGAAATGCTTAGTCAATAGTGGCTCTTATTATTAGTTAGCAAAGAAATATCTGACTCAAAAGTTTGTGTTCTTTCCACTAAGGAAGAAATGACTTTTACCTGGTAATTACAGCTACCCAAAGCAAAAAGCAACCAATCCATAACTGATAGTTTTCATCCAACTTCCACTTAAGTGTCTTCAGGGACACAGGAGCACACATACTCTGGGGCGTCAATGTTCTTTTTAAAATGTGATCCTGGAATGGCACCCAACACTCCAGCTGTATCCTCAACATCTGTTATTCTTGTGCAGTTATTTTGTGGTTAAGTCTTTTCCCACCAACAAATCTTAAACTCTTTAAAAGGAGGGAGCCTAGGTAACTAATATTTATCAAGCATCACCATCTGTCAGGCACTGTATTAGCCAGGGCTGGCTTCATGCTTAGAAGGACCCTGTATTTGCTTTAATGCTCTACTGTTGCCATCTTAATAATTTTTGAATGAAGAGTTCTGCATTTTCCTTTTGCCCTTTACATTATGCAGCCAATTCTGGTACTAACTAATCACTTTTCCAGGCATTATCCCTGTAGTCTTCACTAAAACTTTGTGAGCTAGGTTACATTATTGTTTTCACAGTTTCAGAAATGGAAGTCCAGAGAGATCAGGTTACCTGCCCACGCTGACAGTTAGGAAGTGGTGGAACCAGCACTTGAATGTAAGTCTGACTGTTGAGCCCTTAATTCCAAAGTTCTGTTTTATCCATACATCCTCCTACCCTTGCATTACAGCATTCAGAAGCACACTAGCACTTAATAAATAGATGGATAGTGCAGGATTGTCAGCTACAAGAAATGTCTAAGCAAAATGGTTAAGGCATGGATACCAGTTCTTGTTCTTGTTTGTATTCTTTCAAAGTATAGGCCATAGGCCCAAGGTAGACTTGAAGCTCCATCCTTCCCAACACTACCGAATGTTTGGCCTGTCAGAATTCTACCTTGCATAGAGTCACCAACCTCTCTGAGCTTCAATTTTCTCTTATGTAAAAGGAGATCATAATACCTCCATAACCCATGTCATTCATAAAGCCAAAAGAAAACATAAGGCATTGCTTACAACACATCTGAGCTGGGTCTCAGAGGGGATATAAAGATGCAAAATATTCCAGTTCTGTCCTTATGGAATTCATAGACAAGCAGAAAAGAAAATCTCACCAAAATACCTACAAGCACGCCATGTCATGGTAAGATTCAGAGTGCTCAAGAACACTTCTTGTTACTTTAAAAAAAAAAAAAAAAAAAAGGTTGTTTCTGTTTTTGTTTTCCCTGAGAGGAGATCCAGTAACTAACCTGGCAATTCCAAGTGCACTGGAGACCACAATCACCAGTCCATCCTCACATCCTGCCAGGTTTCCATCTTAAATCTCTAAAACTCATACACATATTCCTATCTTCACTGACACTATCTAACTTCATTCATTCAATAATTATTGAGTACTTACTATACTAAATGTCAGAAATCAGCTGTGAACAAGACAGAAGTATCATGAAGTTCACACTCTAGTTGGGAAAACAAAAAGGAAGCAAAACAAAAATACTAAGAAACAAAAAGGGTGCTGGACACAGCCTCTCTATCAAGGTGATCCCAGGACAGAGCACTCTGAGGGTTCAGATCCCAGAAAACCTCTCTTGCCTGCGCTGTTGCAATATACTGTCCTTCCTACCTCTTTTCTTATACCTTGTGATCTCCTCCATAACAGAACAGTGACTCTTTAAACATGTAAAAGCTAGCTGACTCACACCTGTAATCCCTGCATTTGGGGAGGCTGAGGCAGGACTGCTTGAGGCCGGGAGTTCAAGATGAGCCTGAGTAACAAAACAAGACCCCTTCTCTACAAAAAAAAAATAGAAAAAAATTAACCGGATGTGCTGTCATGCACCTGTTACAGGAGGATCACTTGAGCCCAGAAGTTTTAAGTCTGCAGTGAGCTATAATGATGCCACTGAACTCTAGCCCAGGAACAGAGCAAGAACCTGTCTCTAAAATAAAGTATGAAAGCTTTGGCACATGTTCCCACTGAAATCATTATGAAACTCAATTTCATTCAGCAAAAAAAATGTGAACACCTACTTTATTAGGGCATTGTTCCATGGGAAAGGACAAAAATATCTATTCTAATGAAGTTTATATTTTAGCGAGGGGAAATGAGACAATACACACTATTAAAAAGTCAGAAAAGAAGATCACTGGAAGAAAAAGCAGGGAAGAGTAATGAGTAAGGGTTCAGGCTACAGTGTTTTAAATCGCTCACATGCTCTGGCCTCATTTAACTACTAATTCTTTGTTACCTCCCCTCTTCCCTACATTTCTGTCCCTTACGTACAACTCTTTCCTCTTTTCTGGGCCTTTGCAGATGTTTTCCTCTGCCTGACCCCTTTCTTTCTTTTTTCATATACTCATTCTTCAGCTCTCAGTTCAAAAACCCCTTTTATTGGAAAACATCTCACACTCGGCCACATGTGCATTCTCAACTTCTGCGCAACGTATCCCTCCCCGTTAAACACTGCTCCTAGTTTGACTTTACATAGCGCTTGTAATTATCGTTTACGATGTCATCTACGCTCCCTGAGGGCACAGCCGTGATGCGTACTGTTCGCCGCGAACCCCGCGCCTAGCTCCCAGCTCCTAGTTAACACAAGGCCGGCTGCAGCGAGCCCAACACACTGGAGAGCCGGAAGTGTTGCTTTCCAGCCAGCGGACCGGAAGGGGAACAGCGCGGCCCGCAGGATAACCGGAAATAAGGCTTCCTATCCGGAAGCCGGGGGAGGGGGTGGGAACCTCTGCAAAGGCTGCCGGGAAGCGTGGTTTCTAAGTGGGCGCGACTCTCTACTTGGAGCAATTGCGCGTGCGCTGCTTCCGTTAGCCCAAGTCGGGAACATGGCCGTACGGTCGCTGTGGGCGGTCCGGCGGCGGGGACAGCGCATGCTGGCCTGGAGTGCGGCGTGGGAGAGCAGGTGAGCGTTGCAGGCGGGGGGTCTGGGACGTGAGGACTACGCCAGACGACCTGGCTGGCGAGGGTCGTTGTGAACTGGAGAGACTTATCTCGGCGCAGGGGATAGGACCTACCAAGCCTCTCGGCCTCAGTGACCGGACGCGCTCACGGCCCCATTTTACAGACGGGGAAACTGAGGCCCACGACCGCGCCTTTTTCGTAGGCTGAGAAAGGTGGGAAAATCCGAGGTCAGGTCCTGAGAGGTTGGAATTGGGAGTGTACCTTTCTTCCTGCCTTTTCTCCCCTGTGGTGGTTGCGGGCAAATTTGGATTGTTTTTCCTGATCCAGGGTGACGCTTTGCCAGGCCTGTTTCCTTTATCTGGGCATTATCTATTGGTAAGAGGAGGGCGTTGGACTTGGTTGTTCCTTATGACCTTTTCCATCTGCTTTCAAAAGACTGTGAAGTTCCAGTTGCTGCTTGTATCCATCGTCACCTTTTATCGATCGCTTACCTTGCCGACAGCAAAACTATGAGTAGTTCTTTTTTATTATTTTCTGTTTAATAATTGAGCACCCTGGCTCGGCGCCTGTGGCTCAAGCGGCTAAGGCGCCAGCCACATACACCTAAGGTGGCGGGTTCGAATCCCCAGCCCGGGCTCGCCAAACAACAATGATGGCTGCAACCAAAAAATGGCCGGGTATTGTGGCGGGCGCCTGTAGTCCCAGCTACTTGGGAGGCTGAGGCAGGAGACTCGCTTGAGCCCAGGAGTTGGAGGTTGCTGTAAGCGTGATGCCATGGCACTCTTACCCAGGGGGATAGCTTGAGGCTCCGTCTCAAAATAATAATAATAATAATAATTGAGCACCCTGAGGTTTAGAAAAGCTGACTAACCTTTCCAGACTTAAATACTTGGAAAGTGGTAGATCCCGGACTGGAGACCAATCACAGTTCTATACTGAGCTGTTTTGTTTAGTGTGAGATGTTAATTACTACCCTCCAGAGACTATTTCTTCCTAGAAAAGAGTATAAAAGTTGTCTGAGTTGGACCTCTGAATCATAAATTTAGTTGCCGGGGATCTGATAAATGTGCATTAGTATTTGTTACCTTTTTTATCTTAATACATCAGATCCTACACCCTATATCTAGGTGAAGGGTTGAATTCTGAGTTTGCAGTTTAGATTTGTTTTGTTTTGTTGTTTTCAAATCTGTTGGGTGGTTCCTTGGTTATGTAGGGAAATGATCAGGAAAAAAAATGGTTCTGATAGATATCCCCCCACCCCAGTTCTGAAGAGATTGGAATCTACAACTGACTGCAACTGCTGTCTCTTTCTCCATCTGAGTTCTGACCATTTCTCTTTTAATTGGCCCTGAGAAATTTTTTTTTTTAATTTTTGGAAAAATTTTTGGAGAGATTGGGATCTCACTGTGTTACCAAGAGTAGTCTCAAACTCCTGGCCTCAAGCGATCCTCCTACCACCTTGGCTTCTCAGCTTTGTCCTGAAAATATTTTGACCTTTCAATTGAATAAATGTGCTTTTTTAGGGGGAAGAGGTATTTCACCCCGTGAAATCTGCCTCAGATCTATGGTGACTATTTTCTGTGAACCAAAAATTTGGAACCATGTATAATCAGGCACCAGATCATAATAATTAAATTCAAGATCAGCTCCAGAAAAGTGTATAGTGAAAGTCTTCTTGCACATACCTTTGACTGGCTGTTCCCTCTGCCCAGAATGCTCTTTCTTTCTTGGAGCAAATGTCTTTACTCCTTTTGAATCTTTGCTTAACTGTCATTCCAATGACCACTTCCCAGTTGATGGTGGCTCATATAAATAAGCTAGCTATTTATTTTAATGATAATTTAACTTGAAACCAAATTTTGAGGATCCAGTTTAATGGAAAATTCTTGAACTAGGTGGTCAGAACTGCCATTATTCAAAATCTGCTAGAAACTATTCCCTGTCTTAAATTTCTTCCTCTGTAAATTGAACTAAATATCAAACATTTGAGCTGTATCAAATTCAAGATTATATAACTAGTGAATATAAAATCTATTTATTTTTATTTTTATTTTTTTTTTTTTTTTGAGACAGAGCCTCAAGTTGTCACCCTGGGTAGAGTGCCGTGGCATCACAGCTCACAGCAACCTCCAACTCCTGGGCTCAAGTGATTCTCCTGCCTTTACCTCCCAAGTAGCTGGGACTACAGGTGCCCACCACAATGCCTGGCTATTTTTTGGTTGCAGCCGCCATTGTTGTTTGGCGGGCCCAGGCTGGATTCAAACCTTCCAATGCAAGTGTATGTGGCGCCTTAGCTGCTTGAGCCACAGGCACTGAGCCACAAAATCTATTTTATTCATCAGTTTATTGTTTACAGACTGTAACATACAGTATGTGTTTTATAAGCATTTCATTGATTTGATTTTACATTTAGGTGTGGTCTCAACTCAGTATTTCTCTTTCTCAGCACAGATTAAAGGAAGCCTAAAAGCCATGTATCTTGTGGTCAAGAAGGCTTAAAATTGTAAGCGTAACTCCAGTTTGATAAGATCCCTTTACTAACTAAATTTTTCTCATCTTTAAGATGGAGGATTGAAACAGAACTATATGACTTTATTTGTGTTTTTTAATTCCCACTTCTGCTGTTGGCCCTCTGGTACTGGGTATTAGCACTTGGTTTCCTCTTTGTAGACTTTTCTGTGTACACTTGGGACTGTTTCTACTGCCTGACACTCAGTATTCTGACTCGGCGGAATACTAGCTATGTGATCTTAAGAAAGTCGTTAAGCCTTAATTAAGCCTTTCAGTTTTCACTGCAAAAAAAAAAAAAGAAGAAACACGTGAATTTGGGGCGGCGCTGTGGCTCAGTGAGTCGGGCACCAGCTCCATATACCCGGCTGGTTCAAACCCAGCCCCGGCTAAACTGCAACAAAAAAAAATAGCTGGGTGTCGTGGCAGGCACCTGTAGTCCCAACTACTCGGGAGGCTGAGGCAAGAGAATCGCCTAAGCCCAGAGATTGCTGTGAGCTGTGACTTCATGGCACTCTAATAAGGGCAACAAAGTGAGACTCTGTCTCTTAAAAAAAAAAAAATAGTACTTATTTCATATACTGTTAGATGAAAAGATGATTCAGGTAAAACTGTCTGATATATAGTAAGGATTTCATAAGTTTTTATTGGTTGCTATAACTTAAAATACTTTCTCTGGAGAGTCAATCTGGAAGGCTTTCTGGTTTCTAGAAATGATGTCATTTCTTCATTATGTGCTACCTGACTCCTGCTTTAGGGGATGGCTACATCCATTCAGCACTGCCACCCAGAGAACTGCTGGTGAGGACTGCAGTTCTGAGGACCCTCCTGATGAGCTTGGGCCCTCTCTTGCTGAACGAGCCTTAAGGATAAAAGCTGTTAAACTGGAGAAGGAAGTCCAAGATTTAACAGTAAGTAGATTTTATATTATCTTTTCTTAACATCCTCTCTCTACTTTAAGTATCCAGGTACAGACTTTTTTTTATTGGCTCGGCGCCTGTAGCTCAAGTGGCTAAGGCGTCAGCCACATACACCTAAGGTGGTGGGTTCAAATCCAGCCCAGGCCCACCAAACAACAATGACAGCTGCAACCAAAAAATAGCCAGGCA